AAAGATAAAGATAAAGATAAAGATAAAGATAAAGATAAAGATAAAGATAAAGATAAAGATAAAGATAAAGATAAAGATAAAGATAAAGATAAAGATAGATGAGACTGTAAGAAATCACCTCATGGGAGAAAAAGCAGCAAAATTACTTTTTTGGAAATATAATATGCCCATTTTGAACTTTGACTACAAAATTGAAACACTGTATAGGTTAAGCACTCGTTCAATGTTCTAATAATTTACAAAACTTTTAAGTAATAAAAACGATGACTTAACATTCGCATTCGCATTCGCATTCGCGAATGTGAAAACTATGGCCTTCGAAACATCCCTAATACATACACAAACACCGTACTAGACTGTCTCGCTTTGATTTCGGAATGCTTACACATTGGGAAGTTAGCTTACTGCCAATATGGAAGTATTACGTATATGGGCGCATGTAATAGACTTGAATTGATATGAAGGGAAATATGTGTTTGTATGTGGATATATGAATAACCACCGCTTAGAATCGATCTCAAATTTGTACTTTCTATGTAGAAATTTTAGGTCTATGTTATGTAGTTTGACTATTGTCAATTAAATCTAATGCTTTGTATTGCATGCGCCCCACGCTTTTCATTTTCAATCTCATAAATTGTTTATAATGACTTTTGCTAAAATTTCAAAATCAAAAGTTAGTAAAACAAATTCTATGGGACTGAGAATTATTATTTTCTACTTTCTAGTACATTTATAAAAGGGTTGTATATTAAAAAGTTTTTTTTTTATTATTTATTTCATTGTTTCTTTGCTAAAGCTTTTTTTCAGGTTGATTATCGAATAACCGGGAGAAATATATCCAAAAAAACAAAACGGCTTACAAAAATAAAAAAAACAGCTTTGTTAGTGGCTCATTATTTGGATCGTATGACGCTGTTGATTTTTCGTTTTTACCCCCATAAAAAAAATAAAAAGGGGGACCAAAANAAAAAAAACAGCTTTGTTAGTGGCTCATTATTTGGATCGTATGACGCTGTGTATTTTTCGTTTTTACCCCCATAAAAAAAATAAAAAGGGGGACCAAAAAATAGCACTTCGTTTGGAAATTGCCCACTTACATATCAACTGCGGCGGGTGAAATAACACAAACGGCAATAACGCAAAATTTGCTTCAGAGAATATTGTTCTGAATTTTATCTTCAGTTAAAATTTCTGCATTATCATCCCTTGCTTCACTATTTCCGAACTGCAGATTTCGTTTACGAAGACGAAGCGAACATGTGGTACTAAATAGTTGTGTAAAAATATGTAAAATTTTCCATACAAGCAGGAGAGATTAATGTCGCAATAAACAGGTGAAGTAATAAAACATCTTTCTCGCTTTATTTTCTGATATTCAGCTGCCTTATAGTCACATTTTATAGCCAAATTTTCAAATAAGGCAGTGTCAAAATCTTTATTCTCAATCTAATATTACTTCACCTGGTATAATTCCACCATGCGTGGGGTGTATGCAATAAAACCATACGCAATAATTCCCATTACTTAGACATTGAAAAGCAGTTTCAGAGGTGAACTAGTGCCATTTTATTATTATTCTTTTCTAAACGGTTATAATGCCACCTGTGCATAATTGTGAAAGGACGGGGCGGGGGACGCGAGCACGAGCGCGACGTCCAACGCGGACCGCCGCGACGCTGAGCACTTTCAAAATTGTATACTTACAAATCCGTCCATTTAACTTGTTCATGTACTACTTTTTGTCAAATGTTACCCACATATGTGCACTATTTTCCTTTATTACTCGATTGTTAACTTTAAAAGTTGGTCTTATTGCTCAACGAGAAATGAAATAAAGCAAATTTGTGTTATTTCACATACAATTGGGAAATACACAAATCTGCGTTATTGCCATTTGTGTTATTTCACCTCCCCATCAACTCCTTTTCCTCTGCCGAATGAACTGTAAGTGCAACTATGTGCTTCAAGTTCTCAATCTTAATTCTATACATATAATAAAATTGTAAAAGACCGATGTCTGTACAATATAGATATTAAAGAAATATTAATATGGGAGACCTTTATTAGAGCAACAGAAGCCAAATCAACAGTTTTTAGAAATTTTGTGTATCTGTCTGTTGGCATGTTTGCACGCGCATCAGTCAAAAATTAATGCATGAAATTGAATGCACGGGGCTATTCGGAAATGCAGCAAAACAAA